CTGTGATAAGACATCAAGAACCTGAGCTTCATTAGGTCCTGAAACCAAGTGTGTGATCTCAGTTGGAAAGACCATGAGTTTTGGCCAGGTTTGAGTCCTGGGCACATGGGTTAGAGTCCCAAACTGGGTTTTGACCAGGTTTGAGTCCCAGACATGTGGGTTCAAGTCCCAGTCTGAGGTGAACGATTTCAGTGCTACTTTTCCAGTGGTCATGTATGGATGTGAGAGTTGGACTGTGAAGAAAGCTGAGCGCTGAAAAATTGATGCTTTTGAATTGCGGTGTTGGAGAAGACTCTTGAGAGTCCCTTGGACTGCAAGGAGATCCAACCAGTCCATCCTAGAGATCAGTCCTGGGTGTTCATTGGAAGGACCGATGCTGAAGCTGAAACTCCAGTACTTTGGCCACCTCATGCGAAGAGTTGACTCATTGGAAAAGACCCTGATACTGGGACGGATTAGTGGCAGGAGGAGAAGGGGATGACAGAAGATGAGATGGCTGGATGGCATCACCGACTCCATGGACATGAGTTTGAGTAAACTTCGGGAGTTGGTGATGGACAGGGAGGCCTTGCGTGCTGCGATTCATGGGGTCGCACAGAGTCGGACACGAATGAGAGACTGAACTGAACTGAACTGAACAGTGATTTTGTCTGTGGCTAATTATCTATACAGTTAAATTTTTCAACAATGAGGAAGTATTGATTCTTAGTAAGAAATACATATAAATTGTTATTAATTTTAAAAAGAACTCTCTCTTTCTAAAAGAAAGAATTTCAAAGAGAAAGAATTCTTATTCTGAGGATGTTAATCCTCTGTGCAAGTGAGCATCAAGGTCTAGAAGGCTAGTCCATTCAGCTGCAGGTCATTGTTTTGTTTTTTTTTGCAGGAAAAGTGATTTTTGTGTATGATAGCATATGAATTTCTGTTATTTTATGTGAATCATCATTGTTGATATGATTCATATAGGAATTAACAAAATAATTAAGTGCTTTATTTTTCTTATTATCTCAATCCTTTCTTTTTTCAGCTACCTCATGTGGTTAATTCAGCTTGCCCAGTTTAGATTTTTCTTTTGTTGATAGGTGAAGCCACCAAACAGTTCTCCATTCTCAAATCCCTGTGGGGGAAAAAAAGTCAAAATAGAATGTGCTTTCCTTTAGATTATCCTCTCATTTTGATACAGACCTCAAAAGATCAGAAAAAAAGCATTTTTCCAAAACATTTTACTTAGATCTAATTTAGGGATATAAAGTATAAAAATACAGTAAATCCCCTACCTATGTATGAATTCTAAGAACGTGTTTGTGAGTCTAATTTGTTCATAAGTCCAACAAAGTTAGCCTAGATACGCACCTAACACAATTGGCTATACAGTACTGTACTGCAATAGGTTTATAATATTTTTCATACAAATAATACATAAAAAACACATACAAAATAAAGAAAACATTTTCATCTTACAGTGCAGTACCTTGAAAAGTATGTTAGTACCAGCTACATCACTGCTGCTTTTACACTTGCTTCTGGACATCCTGGGTTCAGAATAAAGATACTATACTACTGTACTCTATACAGTAGTGTACAGTAAAGTACACAAAAGCACAACCACCTGTAGACAAGCATGCACATGACCATGTATGCCAGACATGTGAACTAACTTATTTGATTGGATGTACGCACACACATTCACATTTTTTAAAGTTCGCAACTTCAAGGTTCATATGTAGGGGACTTACTGTAATTTTACTTGACTTTTCATAATAAAAATATATATTCATTTTGCAAATTGCAAGAGATGAATTTCTCTGGTAATCCTATATAATCTTATTTCAGAAAACTAGCACTCATGTCAACATTTTTGTCCGTCAAAATAAATGTTTGAGGGCCTTGCTTTGTGTGTGGAAGTAGAGGGGGCAGCAGGGAGTAGTGGTTACTTCACATAGTTCTGTAGAGCATGAAGCATGAGAAAAGAGTAGTGGAGAACCAAGCAGAAAGCCTTATCTATTAGCTTTCTCTCTTTTTCTTCATAGGTGCTAATATACCACCTGCCCAGTACTCTTTTATTGCTGTGGTCAGGGATATGTAAGCAATGTGGTTTGGGGAGAAAGTTGAAGGTCTGAGCAGGACTGTCTCTGAAATATCAGCTTGTAGCCTAAGATTCATTGAAACTACTAAATATGTCTGTTAGGATTACCATGATCATTGATCAGAGACAAAAAAAAATAAAAATAAAATAAAGATTAATATGAACTCATTTGTACCTCAGTGTCCTTATTTGTAAAATGAGAATAATTTAATCATTTTAGGAATAAAATGGGATAATGCAAGTAAAATACTTATAAAAGTATATATCATATAGTGCTTACCTAATAGTAACAACTATTATTATTATTACTATGTGGTTCTTGGGCATTATGTAGAACCATGGAAAAGGAAGCAAATTAGGTAATACTTGGAAATGAGACAACCAAAATGAGAAGAATACAGTTTTGTTTGCTATCTGAGAAACAACGTAAAGAAAAGAAGACATTTATACCTTTGTATATTCCTGCAATCAGAGTTCACATATTCATGCACCATCTTCTCAAATGACATTTCTTCTTAGTCCCAGGAAAGACCACTGTAGTCCAAGCCTCAGAGAATTACTTAGGGATCAATACTGGGTTCCTCTGGTGGCTCAGTCGGTAAAGAATTTGCCTGCAATTCTGGAGACCAGGGTTCAGTCCCTGAGTTGGGAAGATCCCCTGGAAAAGGAAATGACAACCCACTCCAGTATTCTTGCCTGGAGAATTCCATGAACAGAGGAGCCTGGCAGGCTACAGACCATGGGGTCACAGAGTCAGACAGGACTGAGTGACTTACACTTTCACTAACAAGGAAGTGGAGGCCAGGCTTAAAATCCCAAGGATTAGGTAAATAATTCTTTTCATTAAAGGAACATCCAGGGGAGGGAGGTTTGTGTTAGTATCATAATTGTTATTGTGGGAGAGGAACTGACATAAGCTGAATATTGGAAGCTGAGTAGGTGTTCATCAGTTGAATGAGACACCTTGAGGGTTGGGGATGATTGGAGGGGTGTTCAGGAAACAGAGTGGTGTGGGCAAAAGCAGACAGGCATGAGAGAATATTAGGTTGAAAAAGAGCAGTTTGAGTCCTTTTGTGATGCTTGAACATACAGTGTAAGAAAGAGATGGCAGAGAAAAAAAAGTCAGACAGGCAGGGAAGAATCAGATTCCTTGTGGTCTTGTAGACAATAGCAAGAAATCTGGGCTTTCCTTTGATAATTAATAAGGGATTATGGCTGAAGATGCAAGAGTGAGAGAGTAGAAGAGTATAGCAAGAAGCCAGATAAGGAATGATGGAAGGTAAAACTAAGAAGTATCAGTGGGGATTGTAAGGAAGCTGAGGATACAAGAGAAGGTAAGAATCTATAACTTGAGGTAGTTACAACAAAAAAAGTAAAGTGCACATGATCTTCCAATTAAAGCTTTTATTTATGTTTTACAAAGTTATTTAAAATATGAAGTCATAGTTGGTTATACATTTAGCTATTTGTTTTTATTGATAATAATAAATGACATGAAATAAGGACTTTTCCAGAAAGTAGATCAAGAGTATTGTTGGATCTATATCCCTGAAATCTGGTGGGGACGCCAAGCTCCTGAAACTTACTTCTATCTTAGAGGTCAGTACTGGTCTAGGAAGGTCCTAGATAACCTGGTAAAATATGGGTCTGGTGCAGAATGAACTCTCTAACTTCTAAAATTAGGATTCATGCTCTAAGTGAAGTAAATTCAGTCAGTTTCAGGTATTTCTCAAACTTAGGAGTTCTAATAGTGTTGAGAAATCTATGGACCAGTCACTGGTATAGCAGAGTTCCACAGAAATCTATAAATTCTGGAACAAACAGTATCCATAGGTATAATTTAAGTATACCCCATGGTCTATATTCTAAGCCATGTTGCATTGCCCTGACAGGTAGGTTTGTTGTGTGACACCAAACTTGTCATTTTCTGGATCTCTTTGTCCTCCTTGAGTATCAAAATTCCATTCTGAGATAACATTTTCCTATGCTAGTTAAGGGTTTATTACAAATTAAAGAGTTAAAGCAGCCACCCAAATATTTTGGCAAGCAACCCACAACCAAAGCATCAATAATAAAACTCAGGTCAACTTCCTATATATCAAAGCACCATATCCAAAATGTCAAGGATGTAAAAAATGACCTTTACATTTTATACACTAAATAGTTTTTAGTTATTGTTTTTTTAAAAATTATCAGAGGACATAGAAACCTTCAAACCATTAAAATTAATAGAAATTTAAAAATTGTTTAATTCAGACTTTAGTGAACACTCAGATATTTGTTTATTGAAGATCTATGTTATTACACATTCCACTTTTTATAATTATAAATACAAGTTAAATGTAGGAGTACATGTGATCTATACTATATTCTTAGCCCTACTCAATATGTAGCTATATCTTAAATATAAATTTATGTTAAAGTGAAATATAAAAAGATTATTATTCATAATATAAAGTAGAAGTGCTCATTCCTTTTAGAATACTATCTTGTAAATAATGCAATGAATTAAAAGACTGGCCTTGGTTCAAGAGAAAAGCTTGATGAAAATAGATATAAAAATCAACAAAGACTCCAGAATTTCTCAAAGAGAAATCTGAAACTCCAAATCATCATTCACAATTTCTTATTAATTATAATTCGAGACAAATTCCCAGTTACTTCTAGATTATAGATACGTCTCCGCAGTGACATCTTGTACAGATAGACAAGGAAGGTAAAAAAAGGAGGCAATTTTTGAAAGTCACTGGAGGATAAAACTTAAGAGTTACATTTGGTTTCCTGTTCTAGAAGTCTGAGAAAAGATTACATTAAGGGGAAAAACTTGTTATTTTACTAAAGCCATTAAAAGATAATTCAGGGAGATCTTTCAAGCCAAGTAGCCGTATTGATAACATGTATTCCACTCTCACGTTTAAGACACAAAGGTCTCCATTTCTCTAAGGGAACTGCTTTTTCCACATGACCCATTCTCTCTCTTGCCTTGGAGCCAAGTAATTGGAACCCTAAACACACGGCGGAGCTTCTGTTGGAACCTGTTTCCAACAAAACAATACAGAAAGGGATTAATGCAGCTGTTGGTGAATCCCAGGAGAATGGCAAAAGGAAGTGCCAGGTCAATGACTGCTATAACTTCACAGCTATTAATGACACCCATCCAGGCTAGAGCATCCAGGAAGGTCAGAACATGGAAAGGAAGCCAACAAATGATGAACGCCAGAACAACAGCAGCTGCCATCTTCAGAACTTGGTCACGAGTTATTCTATTCTTCCCATAGCTATTGGTCTTCAGTAGATGTTTTCTGATTCCAAAATAGCATGTTGCTATGAATATTAAAGGGATAATAAAACCAAGGATATTTTTCATTAAGGCAATCCCTGCTGACCATTGGGCATACTTCTCAGGTGGGAAAGCCATTATGCAAGCATTCACCCCTAAATATTCAATGGTTCTGACATCCCGGAAATAAAACGTTGGCAATGAGGACAGACAAGCCATACACCAAACAAGGGGAACTATATAAGATGCTTGCCAGGGATTTCTTCTTTGAGACAGAAAGGGGTAGATGACAGATTGGTACCTATCAACACTCATGCAGGTGATAAAAAAAATGCTTGCAAACATGTTCAGGGTCAGGAAAGAACCAAAAACTTTGCACATCACAGGTCCAAAGAGCCAGTCATATCTATGAGAATAATAGGTTGCCCAGAGAGGAAGAGTAGCCAAAAGAAGTAAGTCAGCCACAGCTAGATTGAAGATGTAAATGCTGGAAACCTTCTTAGGACCCTTTTGACAACAAAACAGTGTAACCACAATAGTATTGACAAGAAATCCAACCGCAAAAATAATGTAATAAAGAACAGGAATTGCATCTAAATGCTTATCTGATGGCTTATGTGAGCAATTAAAGGTAGACTCATTGCTAGAAATGTTCACAAGTCCAACGTGAAGATTGCTGGTAATGTTTTTGCTGATGGTGGCAAGGGAGAAGTTGGCTTTCATGTTGATTGAAATGTCAGCAGCTTCTAATTTTTACACCTTCTGGGGAAAAAAAAGAACTCGTAAAACACACAGAATTTAGGATATTATCAAGTCATTAGCATTATAAAAGTTTGTTGAAAGCAAAAAATGTAAGTGATTATAGAAAATATTGGGAAACAGAGCATGCCTTATGAAATAAGAATGGACTTTAGTTCTTAAAGAAGAGAAGAGAATTCTCTCAATAATACCAAGAAATTAAGACATTTTGACATCAAGACTGAAAATTCTAAGCAAAACTACTTTTTGCCCTTCTTTTCTATTATCAAAAAGTTTAAAGAAAATTAATATTTCAAAAGGTTAGTCAGAATAGGAAATATATGAAACAAATAAGAAGAAACTAAGAAATAAGAAAAGTTAGCATTTCAAAAACACATGAGCACATATCTCACTCTGTATACTTTCTAGAAACCACACCACTGCCTGCTATTGCGTAGAGAAATGCCTTATTCAAGTAATTAATTATATACAAATCATTCCAGCTATGGAGAAATAAGTAAAATAAGCTATGGAAAAAGTAAGTAAGTGTACAAAAGACTTAAAGAGAATATGCAAAAGGAACATTATTGAGATGGTGGGTTATGGCTGGTTTTTACTAATTAAAAATAATTCCTATAGTTCTACTTTTCTATTGTTTTCACAATAATAATATAATTAAGAGATAGTTATGGAATATGTGCATATTTTTAAAACCTCCATCACATTTTAATAGAAACTATTACTTTTACATATGGCTATTTAAGTTTAATCCATATAAAAGAAAATCTACTTTCTTTTTTTAATTAGGAAAAGAAAACTAAAAAATAGCCAAATTGGATTCAGGGTCAAATACGAAAAATTGTGTTGTTCAATGAAATAAGAATTTGAACATCAAAGATTAATCATAATATAATTGTATCACTTTTTCCTTTGCTTTTTATTTTTTTAGTTTAACAGCTAAGTAGTTACAGTGCTACTTGGCTCTTGAATATTATAACCAATATTCAGATTTTTGTGATACTGTTATTTTTAATAGCAACATTATTTTAAAACAAAAGAAAATTAGCTGAAGATAAGCACAGTAAGGGAAAGACTATTCCTTTGGATGGTTTCAAAACACATATAAATAAACTACTCAGTGAAAATGTCATCAGCAAAGAATCTCTTAATAAACAACAAACTTATCACTTTTGTTTAGAGCTTTACTCTTTCATAATCTTGACTTAACAAATTAACATGAAATAATCTAAAATAAACTCACTTGAAGACTTACTGGTTGTTCGAGTTTAAAACTTAGTTATCATAAATCAGCTTGCCTCGTTCTTAAGTGCACCCCTGTAAGAGAAACAGTAGTTTGACAATTTAGGAATTTTGCAAAATACAGTGTTAAAATACAGGGAAAAGGGAAAGTGCATCCATAAAAAATTTTTCATTTAATGTATGTTTTACTTCCCAAATAGAGTATGTATAAATTGTGCAGACCTACCTTAAAAATTCAAGCTGAAGAATGCTTTTAATTTTGTGCTTATTCGTTCCCTTAGAGTCGGGGACATAATAGCACCAGATCTCTGGTTTCCTTCTTATATATTCCGTCTGTCCACTGGGAGCCTTCAACCTACATAATTCTAGGGCTGACTTATGAACACTTGCCAGCTTTCCAGTGGGTTTTTTTTTTCTGGCTGCAAAACATTAATCTGAAATTCTCACTGTCTCCAATCATAACAGCTCATTCAAATAAATCTCAAACAAAAAATGAAGTTTCCACAAATGTGTTAGAGAATTTTAAGTCAGTGACTTACTTTAAAAGAAGGATATAATTATTTGCAGAATTTCCTTTCTTTTACCCTGATTTTGGCATTCTAAAATGAGTTAAGGAGTGGAGACTAGGGAATTTATTCTAGTAGTAGAGTTAAATTCCACCAGCACCTTTTACAACTTTCATTACTTTTTGAAAAATTTTACCCCTGTTTAATAAAAGAACAGCAGCAACTTTACTTGAAGTCTAAGATTTCTAAAATTTCTCCCTTGTGTTAAACAAGTTTTGTTGGCTTTTTCTGGAAAGATATGACAGGAAGGATATAATTCTCATGTCTTCTAAAAGAAATATTAACAAGTAGTGTCTCCTTTCATGGGTCTTTATCATATTTGTGGTTTAAATACAAAGTATACAACATCAGAAGGATTAGGCAGCTATTGCAGCCCAGATTACTGTTGTTTTTCTTTTTGTGGGGTTGAGGGTGGTTAGCCTTACACAATAAGTATATTAGAAGCAAGAATGACAAAAGAAAGATAAATACAGGTGATGGTAGTAATTATATCAGTTGACGATAAACGCCATTTGCCAAACACTGTGCTAAGTGCTTTATACTCAATACTTTAATAGACAGGCAATATAGCATACCAGTGTATGTACATGGCCTCTGGGTTCCAATTACCTGGTTCACAAGCTCAGCTATACCACTTAATAATTCCATGACTATGGCCAAGTTACTTTCCTTCTTCTTGTCTCAGTTTTCTCATCTGAGAAATGGGGATGATGTTAATTACCTACATCATGGAGTTATAAGAATTAAATGAGTTGTTATGTTTAGAGTGCCTAAAAATTGTGCCTAGCACATACTAGGTACAATTATAAGCTATTAATATTACCTCTATTTAAAAACAAAACCAGTACACTAGGGCTCACAGAGTTTAAATAACTTTTCTGAAATCACATAGGTATTAAATGGGGACATTTGAATTGAAACCAAGGCACTCTAATGTCAGCACCCACAGTCTTAACCTCCACAGTACAGGAGGCAGCATTAGCTGGTCCTTTAATCTCACCCTTTGTCCTGGCAAAAAGAAAACATGCAACATTTACAAAAAAAAAATCCTTGCTGGCCATTCATAAACTGTTACAAAAGCACTTGGGGGGAAGGGTTTGAAGGATTGTAGCATGGAAGAAAATATTTTTCATTTTCTTCCCAAAATGGAGGCCATAGGTAGGCAAAATATATGACTAGTTAACTGCAGTGAGTACAGAAAACCAGAGAACCCAGGACACTCACATGAGTATAAAGGATTCCAGTTATTTCTACTGATCGTTTTTTTTTTTTTTCTGGAAGCAGTAAGAGTTCACCTAGCTAGGCTTCAGGCTTCAGGTGAAGTAAGAGGGCAGGCAGGCTCTGAGGAGGTTGCTGGGGACCTAAGTAAAGGTTCCACAGAAGTAACACAGCAAAGGGAGGGTGGGTTACAGAAGACAAAATTACAAATGACATGAAACAAAACAGATGGCTTTTGACATTTGTCTGTTTTTCCATTCATTTTGAAGTTGATCCTATAGTACACAGACAGATGGGATCAGCAAGAAGAGGTCACCATTGCCTGAAAAACATAGTACGATTCAAAAGTTTGCACAATACTCTTTCTTTCAGTAGATTGTTTGAACATGGAGCAAATGCTGCTGATATACAGACACAGCATTTTACAAAATCTCAAAATATTTTCTTCCTATGTTCTGGACAGATTCAGGTTGAGGCTCTGTCCAAATGATGGAAAACTGATGTTTGGAAAACAAATGAGGGGGCACATATGGTTATCGGCAGGAGAGTTTAAATGGGAACTGGTTTCACTCTTTGTTTAAGCCTGGTTTCTCCCTCCATTTCAAATGTTTGTTTTTACCATGTACAGGGGAATTTTCCAGGCCAGGGCCTCCTGAGTGGTCACGACGGGTCAGATTCCCACCCTGCTCTATTTCTAGCCCCTTCTCATGCCCCTTTTAAAGAAATAGCCAGGAGGTGAGCTATAAACTTCTGAGAACAAACTGCAGACTCGCCTCTGGGAGACCTAGCCTTGAACACCCCCGAGGAGTAGGAGACCTTGTCTAGAGCTTTTGTCCTTCATTACAGTAAGTTCTGACATAAATAAAGTTTAAAAAGGCACACATTTCCCAGAAGATTTAAAGGACACATACTCTGTTTCTTTATAATTTTAGTGGTAAAAATTTTCACAGGTCAAAGACAAACTATGTAACTACAGAGAGATAAGGTAGAAAAAAAGAAAAAAGAAAAGAAAAAGCAAAGGAATAATAATATTGATACCACTTGAAGCGAAAAACACAGCATATTATTGATTCAGTAAAGAACTCCAAGTTAAGCCAACAGTGTAAATACACTTGAGAGTCAAATAAATGTCGGTCAGGAGGAACAGTACAACACAAAAGAATTCACTCTCCTGGGGGCAGAGAGTAACTTTTTCTGCTGGAAGATTGACTTTAAAGCCCCAGGTCATTTGAATAAATTATGTAGCTCTTCAGGACAAGTGCAGCTTGGCTAGCAGAATTAAACAATGGTAAATCACATTGAATTAACTTTTTTTTAGTGAATACTTTTCATTTATTGTGAGATACTTAACACTAAAATTTAATGGGCCAGGTTTAAAAAAAAAAAAAAAAGAAGGAAGTTCTCCAGAGGAATTTCTCCTCTGCTAAAAATCTCGGAAAAAAAATCTTGTCTGTCTCTTTTAACCTCACTCACACACACAGATGAAGTTTTGAAGGAGAAAAGAAACTATACAGTACAAAAGTCTGGATATACGTGCCCTAGTTATAAAGGTGAGGAATAGAGGTGCAGATCATAAAATGATTAAATATATACTGGCCTTCTTTTTTTAGTTTTTCGGTTATTTTAATTTTCCTCCACCCCAGCTACCTTTCTGAGTCCCTATCCAGAACAGTAGTGTTAGGGGAAGCACACTGACTGAAACCGCCCACCCTGCCCAGGCACCATAGTAACCATTTGCATGAGTTACTTTATGACAGGAGGTCCTAGTAGGGAACATGGAACTAATAAGTCACCACTAATTGGAAGAATTCAGAAAAAGTTAAAGGAAGATACCACATGTCTGACCACCTCCCAGAATCCTTATCATTGACATCCATTTTGACTGAGCAATGAGTGCGCCACCAGAAAGGACTGTGAGTCAGAATGATTGGCCAAAGACAA